CTGGATGCTGGCGTGGCAGTATGACAGGATGCTGCGCATTGTAATCCAAGGACGAATTCTGTAGACGGCCACCAACTCGGATCAGACCGAAGCTATCGATGAATGGCAATAGAGAGGACAACGGGCTGGATGATGAAATTTGCTGCTTAAAATGCAGTCTCCAGTAGTCATCAGCCAGGTTGCTCATTTGGATACATCTGATGAGCATCTGAGTGCCCATCTTGACATATTTGACGGTAAGACCAGGACGTCTTTTACGGTGTGCAAATTTGTATTCGAATCCGAAAGTGTGGGTCATCTTTTGACAGGAATTCACGAGATTGCGTTTTAAGGGTAGATCCACTTTGGTAGAGACGCCAACCAAAATGCCCTTTCTGAACTCGGGAGAAGTCTTCACAGGCAAACAAGATTCAGGCCAATCGTGCTGATTCTTGAGAAGGATCGCTGGGCCTCTGAACCAAAGGGCAGAATCCAGAAGCTCACTCTGGGAAGCTCCTCTTGTCAAAATGTCGGATTTGATTGCAGTCAGTCAAAACGAAGTGCCAACTCATGCCACTGGATAGCTTCTGAATTAAAGATATTTGATTAGTAACAAATACTTGAAAGCGTGAATGTTCATAGCTTATCGATGATAAAGCTCCAGTAGAATCAATGAGCTTCATGTTGCGTACGTCCCGCTTCAGTTGCGCCAGCAACAAGGCAGCGCACAACTCTACTTTGGAAACCGTAAGAGGTGCCACACGAGACTTTGAAAAAAGTAGATGCACCTCTCGTTCGCCATCAGCATCTGGATCCAACGCACGTCGAAGAATCTCCATTTGATGGGTACGACCCATGTCAGATGGCAACAGGACAACAGGAGAGCTCTTATCCCAGTCCAAACTTTCTCTCCAGACTTGTTGCAGGAATATTTTGGCCTTGGCAGATGGCTTTGGAGAGACCTGTATGGAAGAAAGGGAAAAACGAGAAACATCCGCTACAGGGTCACAGGCAAGACCGAGCGTCTTGTTGCTGCTATCGTCTATCTTCAGGAATTTTCCAAGTCAGGAATTTGATCACGGACGTCGTTGATTTCGAGAGCTCGCTGAACCTCGGACGAAGGCTGAGAGCCAGGGTGCAAAGGGCTATGACGCTTGGTCCCTTTTCGCTTACGCAATTCAACATTCAATTTTGTTTTTGTTGAGATGAAAAGCTCCTCGAAGTCATCGCGCACCACACTACCAATTTCATGAAAGTCCAGCTGCTCAAGTCTGTCGTGGATCTGGAAAAAGGCAGTCTTGATCTCGTCCAGGCGTTGAACACAAAGCTCCAATTCCTCCTCGCACATTTCCTGGAGCTTGTCGGCAGTCAGGGCCTTCTCGAAGGCTTTCGTTTTAAAAAGCATTGACTCAGCCTTCAACTTGAAACATTTTGCTCCCGCAACTGGAGCAGAAAGAGTTTGGTTCGTTGACATTTTATTAAATTTGATTTTAATTGCTTGAGAATTTATCACTTGCACACTAAACACGTTCCACTGTGCAATGATTAGCGCGAAAATTCTAAGCCAGCGAAAACGAAGCGGAATCTATGTGTAAGCCTATAGCATATGTGTAGTAGTCTTTATTATAATTCTGTAGTATTCTTTATTTTAATTCTTTGCTTTTTAGCTTTTTCACATGCGTTCTCTTCTTAGTCAATCTCAAAAGTCGTTATACCAAGGATGGTATCTTATCGATAACTTATTCCATCACAATCATATGGTAACTCTTAATAAGTACTACCCACCCGTTACATCTGGTAACTCTTAATACTACCAGCCTGCTACAACTCGGCCATCCTGATTTTGAGATAGCCCTCTATCTCCTGTTAACATTATCTCGTACATCAATAGATGAATTTGTTTTTCTTAACCAATGTCTAATATTTTGCGCACTCCACACGCCTTGGTAAGGATTTCGAGCTAACTGAAAGCCATCAATGTCTTTGATCAAATACCTATCGTTTTTTAATATCTTATCAATAACATAAGGACCTTTACTTTTTGGTAACAGTTTTCTTGCTACTCCTGCCGAGCTATCAAAATTTTTTACCATAATATAGTCTCCTGTTTTGAATTTATTTGGATCTTTTCTTTTGCTATTATAATATTCCTCATTTTTTGACTGTGCTAATACCTGATTTTGTTCTGCTTCCTTTCTAATCTTTTCCAAATCTCTTTCACAATTTACATCTACACAATTTTCCTCTTCTAGCTTTTGTTTTAGGTCATCACTTATTTCCCCTTTTTGTTGTAACCCAAACAACATTGTACTTGGATATTGTTTTGTACTTCGGTGTATTGTATTATTCAATGTGTATTCAATTTGTTCGATAACCTTATCCCAATGCTGCCCCTCTTTCGCCTCAGTAAGTTTGCTTAACATAGGACCTAAACTTCTGTTAACCCGCTCCACCTGTCCATTAGCTTGAGGCGATCCCGTGGCCACTTTAATGTGCTTTATATTTGCGTCACTTAAAAACTTTTCAAATTCCCCCGAAGTAAAATCACTACCTCTATCTGACACTATGCAACTTGGTTTGCTATATGATCGAAAATAGTCTTTTAATGCACTAACAACTTCTTTACTATTTGTTGTTTTTGTCGCATATAATCGTAAAAATTTCGTACACCCATCTACCACTGCTAATATGTATTTCTTTGATCTACTTTTATCCACTGGTCCATAATGGTCAATATGAATAATATCAAATGGTTTATTACCTTTGGGTATGCTATGTAATACCCCACATTCTTTGCCTGCATTGGATGAAAACGCAATACACTTTAAACAATTTTCTATATGTCCTAATGATTTGACTTTCATGTTCGGAAACCAATATGTCTTCATCATTGCACTAATCATTTTATCCCTACCAATATGTCCTAATTCATCATGATACTTATACATAACATGATCCTCCATAGCTGCTGGTACATAAAATAATATCCTGCCATCATTCGTTTTCCTATATACTACCCCATTTCTCATTTCAAACAATTTCAGCTCACCTTTTTCTAACAATTTTCTAATATTTTGTATTTTCATATCCTTCGTCTGGCAAATTACTAAATTTGTTTCTAAACTATTTGCTTCTGTTATCATAATTGTATTATAACATCTCGACAAAGCATCGACGTGCTGCATCCTGCTTCCAACTCTATGAACTATTTCATAATCAAATTCTTGTAACTCCAACGCCCACCTTGCTATCCTTGGATTTAAATCAATTTTATTTAAAGTCAAAGCTAATGAGTTACAATCAGTAATAATTTTAAAACGCTTTCCCTGTAAATATATTCTGAATCTTCTTAAAGCATAGATTATCGCTAAAGTTTCTAACTCAAAGCTATGGTACTTTGCTTCTGTTTCTGATGTGCGCTTCGAAAAATAAAAAATAGGATGAAATTTTTCATCTGCCTTTTTCTGAAAAAGTACCGCTCCAAACCCCAAGGCACTGGCATCACAATGCAATTCAATGTCATCTCTATGATCATAAATTGACAAAACTGGCGCTTGTAACAATTTTTCTTTTAAACATAAAAAACAATTAAGCTCCTTTTCACCAAAATTAAATTTTCTATCCTTTCTAAGTAAATCACACAGAGGTTTTGCAATAATAGAAAAATCTTTAATAAACCTTCTAAAATAAGAACATAATCCTAGAAAACTCTGCACTGATTGAACTTTATCAGGCATAGGAAAATTCTTAATAGCTTCTAAACCCTTATCATCGGCTCGAATACAACCTTTAGATATATGAAACCCCAAATATTTAACACAGTCCTGCATAAACTCACATTTATCTAACCTTAATTCTAGTTTATTTTCTGCCAATCGAATCAAAACTTTCTCTAAAATTGCAAAATGTTCATCTATATCTTTGCTTGCGACCATTATATCATCCATATAAACTATAACCTCATTTTCTCTAATCATGTCCGCAAATACAGTATTAACAAATCTTTGAAATACTTGAGGGGCAGTTTTAAGCCCCATCGGCATTTTTAGAAATTCGTATTGACCCAATGGCGTCACAAACGAAGTGTATTTAACCGAGTCCTTATCCACAAATACGTGAAAGTACCCATTTTTTAAATCAAGTTTCGTAAATATATTTTTTCCTACCAGTTTATCTAACAAATCGTCTATTAAAGGCAACGGATAATTATCTCTAACCATAATTTTATTAAGCCGTCTAAAATCGACACACATTCTAAGATCCCCCGTTTTTTTCTTTACTAAAACAATTGCTGAGGCATATTCTGAACTACTGGGTTGTATAATACCCTCTTTTAGGTATTCATCTAACATAAGTTGTAGTTTTTCTTTTTCCGCATATGATAGTCTTCTAGGTGAACAACTAAATGGTTTTTCTTTTTCTAAAATAATTTTCATCTCGCCCCTAATGTTGGGATTTGCTTGCTTCTTTGCATTTATATAAGTGCTTTCTAACATTTTTATAAATTTTGCTCTTAATGCATAATCCACTTGTGTCCCAATCTTATATTCTCTTTCAGAATCCACTACATTAATTTGCATCATGCTACTTTGAAAATTTTCTTCTAACACTCCTCTAACTAATTCTTTTGACTTCTCATCTAACAATTTACTAGCTAACAATCTATTATCTAACAATCGATTATCTAACAATTTACTGTCTAACAATTTATTATCTAACAATTTCCTGTCTAACAAACAATTTTCTGCTAACGATTTATCAACCAATTTGTTTTCTACATTTTCACAATCCATATTCATTTCACTATTTTCTAACAATTGATCTGCTGCTTCCACTAACTCCACTTCATTTATTCCTTCCTGCTCCAAGTTTGGCCTTATGTTGTCTTTACCATCTAATAGACTTTCAGTACACTCATTACCATTCACATCAAGTTCACTTAAAGATAATTTTATACCATAAAGTTCCATAAAATCTCTACCTAAAACAATATTCCATCTCATAGACTCGTTAGGCACCACTTTTAAATCAAAATTAATTTTATTACTGTTCTTGAAAATGTGACAAAATATTTTTCCGAATACATTTAATTGGCTTTCATTTAATCCAAAATATAACACTTCATGTGTGTGTAATTTAATATTTGTTAGAATACATTTTTGTTTAATAAACGAAACAGGGCTGCCCGAGTCTATGAGGCATTCTGAAATTATAGATTCGTTATTACTATTACTAAAATAAATTACTAATGACCTTACAAAATTGTTTACGCCGCTGTCCTCCGTCTTCACCTTCCTCTTCGGGCACTGCGCCATTAAATGCCCTTCGTCACCACATCCGTAGCAAGATCCCGGCTTCCTCTTTGGCTTACTGCAATCTCGTGCCCAATGTCCCTTGGAGTTGCAATTGAAGCAACGAGAATTTTCTTTTATATCTCTGCCCTTCGCTGCTTCCGACTTCATCAGGAAACCACTCTGCCTAGGTAAGGCAACATCTGCAAATGCTCGCCGCATCTTCGCCGGATTATCAAAGCACTGTAATTTTGCCTGGATGCGTAGATTTTCATGTGGTATTCCCTCGATAATGCCATCTAATAACTCATCGTCGTCCATATCCAAATCTCGAGCCAACATGCACTTGTCCTCAAAGTATACGCTGAAATTTTCGTCCGATATCCACATTCGTCCAGCAAATTTCCGACGTAGCTCAATTTTCGGAAGTTTTCCACCAAACGCCTCCTTCAGTTGATCCAAAACTTGGTTTATAGGCTTCACCACACGTACCGGATCTGCATGCAGCCACTGCAACGCTTTTCCTTTAAGCTTTGCAATACATAATAATTGTCGCTGCATGTCGTTCAACTTGTGCAATTGTGTAATATTGTCAAACTGAGCAATCCAATTTCGCACTGGTGTATTTCCATCGTACTCCATTAAAATCTCTTTGGCCAATGAAAACGCCATGGATGCCCAGTCACCCAAATTTTTTTCAGCTGCCACATTTCGCTGAATTTCACAACTTGCATTTCCTTGAGCATCATCTTCTACGTCTTGGCATGATGTATCGTCGTCTCCCTCTAACTCTTGGTTTCGTCCATGCATGCGTAATTGTTTCAGAACATTCTTAGCGGCCTCGATTTCTTTGTACAAATTTGCCAACGCTTCTGTTCCTTTAAACATTTCAGCTTGTTGCGATTGAATTACGCGTCTTGTCTCCGCAACTAGATGATCATCCTCCAAATTGTCCACTCTTGGTGCATTTCCACGTTCTGCTGCTGGTACAGCATTAAGACGCACCAGCAACTCAGCTTTTGTGCCTTTTGTGGACAAACCCAATTCGCCAAGCCATTTTTTTAATACCGCCATTGCATAATTATCACCAACTATATCCATTTTTTCTGTTCTTGATCCCACTTCTGAATTTGTAGTAGTCTTTATTATAATTCTGTAGTATTCTTTATTTTAATTCTTTGCTTTTTAGCTTTTTCACATGCGTTCTCTTCTTAGTCAATCTCAAAAGTCGTTATACCAAGGATGGTATCTTATCGATAACTTATTCCATCACAATCATATGGTAACTCTTAATAAGTACTACCCACCCCTTACATCTGGTAACTCTTAATACTACCAGCCTGCTACATATGCAATGTAGGCAATGAACCCGCGCACAAACGTTTTGTCGCCGCTGTAAAACGTTTAAAGCGGGAACGACGGCACAAAAGAAAAACGAAAATGCACTTTACAATGCGCGGGGGCGGGTGTGTGCGAGGGTCTAGCGGAGTTACAGCTTGCGCTTATGTTCTGCTGTTATGTACTTGCACGATCACCAACTTTAAACGAACGAAAATAATAAATTATTTGTTCGATTGTTCGAATTTTTATTGTTTCACTATCACGTCGGTGTCACCAAAATGTTGGGTCAGTAAGCTTTTTTACTAACCGTTACCTTGTGCCCAAGTAAATAAAACGCACAAATTTTAGCTTAAATAATGCACTTATTTATTACTGGCACCAAGGCCTTAAATTCACAGTGTTATTGTTTGTTGTAGATTTAGTTAGGCAGGCAGACCGAATTGTCTGTGCCTTTTTACAGCGATAAGGTATGTTGGGCAGGCAGACCGACTTGTCTGTGCCTTTTTGCAGCGAAAAGGTATAGTTAGCAGGCAGACCGATTTGTCTGTGCTTTAGACGAAAGTATATAACCGAGATTTGGCAGGCGATCAGCGATCGTGCCTTCTATGAGCGTGTGCAGATTCGAACTACATGAAGCTTGCCGTGGACGAAGGGCCAGGCAGCGATAAGCGAAAAAGTGCAAAAAAGGTAGTTAGCAATGACAATTAAAACAGTGTTGCCGCGCAGGGCAAATAGCAAAACAAAAGGCAAACATCGAGAATTTGAGTTACGTTACGATTTGAAATTAGTGGTTTGATTTAGGCTGCGGCATGACCGAACATAATCAAAAATGGTAACTTGGCATTTGAAGGAACGTGTGAGTATAATGTACCGATTGTGAAATTTTATTTAAATAGTAAAATATATTTATCCAAAAGTTTAAATGATGCAGAATATCGCTTGTGGCATGAAAGGTTAGGCCATATTAGTGTAGGAAAATTCTTAGAAATTAAATGAAATAGCTTGTTTGAAGATGTTGAACTTATAAAAAACGTACAGCTGAATAGAAATGAAATATGTGAGGCGTGTATTAACGGAAAGCAATCTAGGCTTAAATTTGAAAAATCTAAAAATAAAGAAAATATTGACCGCCCATTGTTTGTAGTTCATTCTGACGTATGTGGTCCGATTACTCCCTCAGCTATTGATAATAAAAACTATTATGTAGTATTTATTGATCAGTTCACACATTACTGTGTGACATATTTAATAACTTATAAATCAGACGTGTTTTTTGTATTCAAAGACTTTGTAGCAAAAAGTGCAGCTCATTTCAATTTAAAAATAGTAAATCTATATATTGATAATGGCAGGGAATATCTCTCTAATAAAATGCGTGAATTTTGTGTAGAAAAAGGTATCAGTTATCACTTAACGGTTCCTCACACTCCACAATTGAATGGTGTTGCAGAGCGGATGATTAGAACAATCACCGAAAAAGCTCAATCTTTGATTAATGGTACTAAACTTAATAAAAGTTTTTGGGGTGAAGCTGTTTTAACAGCAACTTATTTAGTTAATAGGACCCCAAGTAGAGCTTTGGAAAATATAAGAAAAACACCATATGAGATGTGGCATAAAAAGAAGCCAATATTAAAATATTTGAAAATATTTGGATCGACTGTGTACGCACTAAATAAAGTGCGTAAGTGAAAATTTGACGAGAAGTCTATCAAGACTATATTCGTTGGGTATGAGCCAAATGGCTATAAATTGTGGAATGAGGAATCGAGGAAGTTTGTGATAGCAAGAGATGTAGTGGTGGACGAAAAAAGCATAAAATCTATGACTTTAAATGAAAATGACTCTGTGGTAAAACATAATGATGTTAGCAGAAGTCATGATTCTCCAATTGAAGAGAATGAAGAGTTAGATTTCCCATTACAGGAAATGAATGAATCAATGGATTCAAAGTCAGATGAAAATTCCACTTGTCTCGAGAATACCGATCCAGTAGTTGAAACTGGTGAAAAAGAAAATGAAAATCAACAAGTCAACAAGCAGTGAGAGAAATAAAGATAAACCAAAATTATCATACAGATTTTTAGAAAAATGTCTTATGAATACCCAATTATGTTTAAATGATATTCCCAATACATATGAGGAAATTAAATTTCGTAATGACAGAACTTTGTGGGAGAAAGCCATTCGAGATGAACTAAATTCTCATTTTGTAAATAATACATGGTGCTTAATGCAAAGGCTTATAGATAAAAACATAGTAGATTGCAAGTGGGTTTTTAGTTTAAAGCAAGACGAAAACGGAAATTTACTAAAATATAAGGCAAGACTGGTAGCAAGGGGCTTCACCCAAGAATATATGATGGAGTATGATGAGACCTTTGCACCTGTTGCACGAATTTCTAGTTTCAGATTTCTTTTAGCATTTTCTAATCAATATAATTTACTGATCCATCATATGGATGTAAAAACAGCATTTTTAAATGGAAATTTAAAGGAAGAAATTTATATGAAGATTCCAAAAGGTTTAAACCAGTATGATGGGAATAAAGTGTGTAAACTAAATAAAGCTATTTATGGCCTGAAGCAAGCTGCAAGTACATTTCAAATGACTGACTTATATGAAATACGACATTTCCTTGGTATAAAAATTGATCGAAAAGATGATCAAATTTGTCTCAGTCAATCTGCATATATTAAAAATGTTTTAAAGAAATTCAATATGGAAAACTGTAATCCAGTTAGTACCCCACTTCCAAGCAGACTAAATTATGAGGACTTGCAAACTGAAGAATCATGTGAAGCACCATGTAGGAATTTAATTTGCTGTTTAATGTACATAATGTTGTGTACACGACCAGACTTGAGTACATCAATAAGTATCTTAAGCCGGTATACTAATAATAATAACAAAGAATTATGGAAATGTCTTAAACGAGTTTTACGATACCTAAAAGGAACTGTTGACTTAAAGTTATCGTTCAAAAGGAATCTTAAAGTGGATAATATTCTTATAGGATATGTCGATTCTGATTGGGCTGGAAATGAGACTGATAGGAGAAGTACTACAGGATTTATATTTAAAATGTTTGGAAACTGTTCAATTTCCTGGAGTACTATGAAACAAAAATCAGTTGCTGCTTCATCTACCGAAGCCGAATATATGGCCTTATTTGAAGGTGTTAGAGAAGCATTATGGCTAAAGTCATTAATAAATGAAATTAAATTAAAATTAAATGGCCCAATAGATATTTTTGAAGACAACCAAGGTTGTATAAGTATAGCCAATAATCCTACTTGCCACAAGAGAACTAAGCATATAGATATTAAATATCATTTTACCAGGGAACAAATTGAAAACAAACTAATCTGCGTTAAGTATATTTCCACAGATTTCCAATTGGCTGATATTTTAACGAAGCCACTACCAACAGCTAGGTTCACTGCACTGCGAGACCAACTGGGGCTAACTGGACCTTCAGCCTGAACCTTTATATGGATATTTTTTTTGGTTTATTGATTATTCACCTGAAAACCAAGACGAACTGGATCTCTTGGCATTTATATATATATATATATATATTTATTTAACAATAATCAAACCAAAATTATTACTAGTCTAACCATTACTGTTTATATAAGTGAATCTTGTTAAATTTGTTTTATTTTTTTTATTGATCTGATTGGGTTTTACTGGGTTTCCCCAATCCTTTGCAGCAAATGCTGGATCAGAAAAGAAAGAGTCCCCAGAGAAGAAAAATAATACAACCATTTGAATATGCACACTCTCGTCTGAAAATACTTTTTTTGTTTTTCATTTAATTTGTATCAGTGTAACTTTTGAGGTGGCGTGTTAAGAATATCAAAAGGTTACACTTATACACATCCACATTTTATGTTGTGGGAAGGGGATGAGCGGAGGAGATCTTGGAGAGAGGCAAAGCTCTCTTCTTCCTTTTGGCCTCTCTCTCTCAGCCTAAGAACTTTTTGGTTTCCTTTTTGTATGCACATGCGTGCCCTACTTACTTGTTTACAGACAACGAGAGCGTGCGGTTGTATAAAATAAAATAATTAAAACTACAATTAAAGTGCTTTTACTTTTTGGCAAATCGGGCTGGAGTTTGTATAAAACATTGATTCTATAAATGTAAATAATTATGTAAATGTAATTGTAATTGTAAATCATTATATCACGTAGTATAAGTACAGACAGTCGATGGCCTCAGCAGCTAGTACTGCAACTTTCTTTAGTTAGTCTTTATAACCTATTCTAACTACAATATAAAAAAAAAAATTTGCAGAATTTTTTTTTATTATACATAATATAAAACATTTTTTGTTGTGCCATCCTTTAAATAAATAAATAGTCAGTTTTTTACTCGAGAGCAACGTAATTCGGCTTGATGATATCCAATACAGTTGAAACTGACTGAAGAGTCTCTGGCATTTCAAAATGTGATTATCCTTATTTTGTCGTATCATAAATTTGTATGAGTAATAAATCATGGCTTTACACTTTTTCGTTTCGTTAGCTTAAATTGAGAAAATTTGGACCTCATTCAACACACAATACCCAACG